CACCAGGCCAGCCTCTGAGGGCTCCCAGTATGTGAGAGGGGGCAGGCTGGGCTGAGGGACATACCCCCCATCAGTGCACGAATTTCGTGCACCAGGCCCCTAGTCTATATAATAAAAGCCTAAGCAACCATTAAGGCGCAACAACCAGAATAACCAGTCGCTATGATGAGCACTGACTACCAGGGGCAGATGCTTAACACAGGAGCTGCCCCCTGGTGGTCAGTGTGCTCCCACAGGGGGAGCGCTGCTCAGCCAGAAGTTGGGCTCACGTCTAGTGAGTACAGTGCCAGTGGCAGGAGCCTTTCCAACCTCCGTGGCAGTGCTAAGGAGTAGTGAGCCAAGCAGTAAGGAGCAGCGAGCAGGCGGACAGTAAGGAGTGAGGGCTCCTGGACTGTGAGAGGGATGTCTGCCTGCCGGTTTAGGCCCACTCCCCTCAGGCAGACATCCCCCGAGGTGTCCTGGACTGTGAGAGGGCACAGCCTGGCTGAGGGACCCCTGCTCCAGTGCATGGATTCTGTGCACCAGGCCTTTAGTTGTATTATATTTGTGCTAAGTCTCCAAAATAGGAACATTAAATATAAACATCTTTCTTGGTCCAGGTCATACCACTCACTATATTATTCCTAATTTTTACATTGTTATGTTGATACCATTTCTAGCCCTATGTTTTTGCTTTCTTTTATATTTAAGAAATAAAAAGTTAGATTGTGGGGATTTTAAAGCTAGTCACAGATCTATCCCTAAATCCCTGTGGAACTTTAAGAAAAGCCACTTGAATTGGTGGGCCTTAACTTATTTATTTGTAAAATTTGCAAAATAACAGTCCCATCCAGTTTCTATATAGCAGTGGTTCTCATACTTGGCTTTATATAGGTATTACCTGGAGAATTTTTAAAATTACTGAGATTAGCATTATTCACAGTGGCCAAGACATGGAAACATCCAAAGTGTCTCTTGATAGGTGATTGGCTCAAGAAGATATATATACACAATGTACATATACACAATTGAATAGTACTCAGCCCATAAGTAAAGATGAAATACTGTTACTTGCAAAAACATGGATGAATCTTGAGAATAACATGCTAACCAAAATCAGTCAGAAGGGAAAAGTCAAGAACTATATTATTTCACTCATATGTGACATGTAAAACTGAAAGCAACAAATGAATAAACAAAAATCCATAGACATAGACAACATTATGGTAGTTGCCAGAGGGAAGGGAGGTGGAGTGATAATAAAGGGTAAAGGGAATGAAATATATAGTGATGGAAGAAAATTTGACTTGGAGTGGTGAACACACAATGCAATATACAGATGATGTATTATAGAATTCTACATTTGAAACCTATATAATCTTATTAACCAATGTCACTCCAATAAATTTAGTGTTTAAAAAATTACTATGCCTAGATGTCACCACCAAGTTTCTGTTTGGGGTGTAGCCTGGGCATCGAGACTGTTAACAGCTCCCCAGGTGATTCTAATGTGCAGACAAGTTTGAAAATCAATGGTATATAGTACTGTTTCAAGCACTTGTTAGTTTTATTAAAGCTTAAGCTTTACCCAATACTTTGAACTTACCTCCTACAGTTTAATCTACTCAAGGTGCAGTGTCATCATGAATTGTGCTGATAGGAAGGAGAAATTAAAAATTGATATTGTCAAACTGCAGCGGGAAGGCCGGGGAGGGTTGGGGGTCAGGAGGGAGGGGGGTAAGAGATCAACCAAAGGACTTGTATGCATGCATATAAGCATAACCCTCAAAAACATTTGCTTTCCAATATTAAAATAATCATTTTAAAAAATGTGCCTTTTACTTGTATGCATGCACATAACCATAACCAATGGACATAAGACACTGGGGGATAGGGGAGGCTAGGGGACTGTCAAGGGCAGGGGGAAAAAAAGGACACATATGTAATATCCTTTGTAATACTTTAAGCAATAAAAAAATGGAAAAATGATGTTTTCTAAACAACTTTTATTTTCATAGAGTTCTAACATGTCAGATCTAGAAGAGACTTGAGAGATACATTCTAATCCAACCTCTTTTATTGTGTAAATGAAGAAAAAGTCCCAGAGAGGTTTTTATTTTTATTTCCTGGGGATATATATTTATTAGCTGTTGTAAAATCAGCACCTGTGAAAACTTTTTGTTTTTAATATACTTAAAAAGTGTTCAGAGTACCGCCTAAATTACAAATAAAAAACAAATCTTTATAGCTTGGAAGTTGAACAAAGAGGTTGAATAAAATGACAGTAGCTAATCCATCAAAATTAAAACTAGATCTTATACTAGTCATCATATACAATTTGTCTGATTTAAAGTTTTTAAATTGTAAAATACATAAGAATTACCTGGAGAACTTATTTAAAATGTGAATTTCTAGATATTTTCCTCTGATTCTGATTCAGGATGACTGGGGGTGGGATCCA